TATTTTTATGTACTATAATTCATCTTGCAAGGCACCAGAGTTTGATACATACGAAATTTTGCATAACTAGAGTTGCATCAAAAAATCATTTATGTTCATTTTTTATGACAGCCACATTTTATCCTTGCATATCTTGGCTACTTCCTTAACAAAGACACTTTAAAAAGAATTTAAAAAAACAAAGTTTCCTCGACTGGGATTCGAACTCTAAACCTCTCACTCACGAAGCGAGCGCGTTACCCCTGCACCACGGAGAAGTTATACAAACGATGCCTGAATAAAATTAAGTCATTCTAAATTAGAACTTCCATTGCATTTCGGGTTTGTAATCCTTATTAATTTCGAGGTATTTTGTTCACGATAAACCTGTTGTTTAAAATTGAAGTAAATAATTTAGCGAAAATTTTCTCACCCAAACAGTCCGACATGTAGAATCTACTCGGCAGTCAGATTTCTTTGTGAAGTATTCGGTAATCGACATCGCTAGAATCTATATATTCCACTACTCGGTTTGTGTAGTATTCGGTTATAGACATCGCTAAAAATAGTATTTTCATTAATAAAATCATATTCATCCGCGTAATTTGTGATTGTGCATTTATTGACAATTCTATAAGCCAACGCCATTTTTAAACTTTGAATGCGTTGTAATTTGTTGGATACTTGTAACAAAATAAAAATATTTCTTTCTTTTAAATCGCTAGTTTTAAGCTGTTTTGAGAACTACTTGTTGTTAGGGTTGTCGTGAAACTTCTGTGTCAGAGATTGAATGTCCGCTTTGTATTTACTTATTTTCGATCAGAAAATACAATAAAACAATATTAGAAATCTTCGACCATTCGGGAATTATTTTGCTTGAAAATTAATGCGTCTTGACCATCTTTACGCAGTGATCTCCCCTGAATTTTTCGGCGTTAGTGTACATATTAAGGGAAGTAACCGCTTCAAAAAAAGTGGACTACTTTCGGCATTTGCAATTAACAGCATTAGACTCTGAAATTTCGCTACCATTATTTGTTTGGTCTGACGACCCAAACAAATAAAAACTATTCAGTCATACCAAAACTCTTAAGGAACACATGAAAAGGAAACACAGTTAAAAGTTCGTGGAACATGAACGCATTCCAAAGAAAATATTTGCTGCAAGCGTTTTTAGTTCAAGTTACAAATATATGCTATTTTCTTATGCAATTTAATTTACCATGTTTTTCCCATGAAGTGTCTGTAGAGATTGCATTTATACCTGAATGCTTTGCCACACTTTCCACATTTATAACGTTTTCTATTCTCGTGCTTATCTTTGTGATCACTAAGATTTTTATTATTAGAGAAGACCAAGCCACATTCATCACATTTGAATTCCTTTATTTGGCTCTTTCTTGGTTCATGGCGTTTTAAATCGTGAGATGTCTTGAACGATTTGCCGCATTTACATTCGTACTTGCGTTCAGAGGAATGTTAATTCTAAACATTTTCTAGGATGTAGATTTTAAATAATTCTTCAAATGGGACACCCATGCAATCCGCTTTATCAGTTTATAAACCTTAGACTGCTTCGAATAAATTGTACTTTCTATCAATTGCATAGTTATGTGTACGCAGTATCTGGATTTTTTTAGAGTGTACGCAATATCATAATCTCTGTTTTCTGTAAATAGTGCGTTTAAATACTTTTTTTTAGTACAAATGAATTGGAACGAAGGTTGAAAATATATTTTTGAAAAGGATTCTACAACAGAATAACTTCCAGCCGTTTAAAACGACCAGTTTAATCGATATTTGCTCAGTTTCTGTAACATTTCAACGCCGGGTGTACGCACTATCCAGAATCAAAATCGCGTTCAACGCGAAATACTGACAAAACAGGAAAGAGTTACTTCAAGACATTTTGTATATAAAAACTAGAAGTTAGGACATCTTCTTTGCAAAACAAATTAAATTCATACCTTTTCTGATTTCTTCACACCACCCGTTTTTCTTCGAAATACCGGCCGATGAAGTGTTCGCGGTATCAGAACTTTAAGGATGCGCGCGCATGGATTCACCCCCTTGGAATACATAGTACATAACCATTTTTTATAATATCTGAATAAGGGAGGTAATGATAGCGCGATTTGGCTAAACGATAAAAGATTTACTGCCCTTATATAAAGGCGGCCACACAGGTCAATTGTCACATACTGCTTGCTTACGTTAGGTATACAATTTTCGTAGCCAATATATCCACTTGACATAAGAGAAGTTAATAATAACAAATTTCGTAGTCTCTCCTATAGTTTTATAAAAACGATACATGTACTAAAGTTTCATTCCATATAACAATATTGTACTGTTTTATTTCTAAGTTTTTACAGTGTCATTTGTTCTGTATCAAAAGAATGGTCAGTTTGGTCATATTTCCTTTATTTCAATAATTCTCTGTAAAATAGAGAAAAACATAATCACTAAAGAATGCCCAAAACCACAAAATTGAAAATCCTGCTGGCTAGGTTTGATTCACCCTGTACATGGACAGTACTTAAAAGAACAAGTTATCGTCCACGCCCCCCCCCCCCCCCCCCACCACCACCCCCCACCCCACCCCCACCCCCCCCCCCCCCCCTAGCATTTAACATTTAAACATAAAATTGTGGAATTTTTTAATTAAGAAACATCCGCAGATGTGTTTATACGGCGGTTATCATGGAATCTTCAAAGTGACACGTTAGTGCTATTCCATGAAAAGCGGCGTATGACTGATTATAGAGTATTGAAGTATAAATAATGGAACCACCCAAGTTAATAACGCCAAATAGAAGAAACTAAAATAAATCATAACATGCATAAAATATCGTGCTGAATCGAAAATAAAACATTTTTGATTATGATTATATACGGGGCGACTTTTAAGGCCTCCACACGGCACAAATAACACTGATACAATAGAAAATAGAGAAAAACGGAATCCCCAAAGAACGCCTTAAAGAAGAAAATACTTCCTGCTATACAGTTATTGTATTATAAATGAAATCTCGTCTTTAGAGAAAAATAACATTCGAAACTAAACAAACCGACTCAATTTGTATCGTTTGAAAATTGTAGTAAAACAGCTTCAGAGATATTGTTAAAGCAAATCGAAAATGTTTCTTTTGTAATGTAAGTTTATCAGTACAATTTCATTATTTTCATTTATTAATAATTTGATATCATCCTACTGTAACGATTGGAAACGGTGTAATAACACTCAAAGTCAATTAATTCCATGTTTATCCTATCTATAATTCATGTGACATAAAACAATTTTGTTGTCGCGCATGAATAAATATCTACCACTGTCAATATCTATGTCCGATATCTTGGTAAAACATATGTATTAGATTGTCTCTTTTTTTTTCTTGTCACTTAATTACCATTAATCATAAAAGTACTAAATAATTAAGTAGAAACATAATCTGTCAGAGCTTGATACTGGTAAACAATAATGTCTCATATGAAATATGCAAAAGGTATTTAGAATTTACGGAATAATTATTCCACTGAGGGTTGTAAAGGAACAAGACAAAGTTTACCAAATTTACCCTGTTAAACTATTACATGTATAACTTAAAAACTTAGAAATATCAAAATATGGGTGCATTTTTAAGCATCATGCTGATTTACATGTAATTTTGAAAATGTATTTAGAATTAAAGTATTATGAAGGGAACAAAGATATCAAATAAATTTGTACATTGCAAACGGCGCTTACAATCCACGTAAATTACCCAAAAAGAGGCCAAAATATCCAGAAATAGCCCTTCCTGCATTAGTAACTGTTGCTTAAACATTATTGAAAACTAACATATAATCCTTTGGGTTGATTTGACAGCTTTCTAAATTTGATTTTTTTAGCAACTATCTATGATTTATGGTGGCATATTTCTATCACCAGATAACCATATAAATAACTACTTAATTAAGAGGTTAGCTAGTTACGTAACTAGTAAACCTCTTAATTAACTAGTTAGTTATGTGGTTAACTAGTTACGTAACTAGTTATTTTTTCAATAAATAAAAGATCATAACGGGAAATAAATGCATGTTAATGCCTACAACTGCCATCCATTTTATTATTTTACCAGCTTAATATTAAGAGGTTAACTAGTTACGTAACCAGTTAACCTCTTAATTAACTAGTTAGTTATATGGTTATCTGGTGGCAGAAATATACCTCCAGATCGCTGTCTGCATAACGTTAGATACCCTCTCTATGGTTTAGTTAATATACTTCCACGGACCAATTATACTACATTTGTATTTCTAAGGGTACAATTGGAACCGTACGAAACATTCAAGAAATTTAACAAATCTACACATAATTATACAATATTCTATGATCATATAAGGAGAGGAATTTGGGATTTGGTAAAAAAAATCAGTAGTTTGTTTCAACCGCCATATTTTTCCAAAATTTTATAACAGACTAAATCAAACCAAGCCTTACAAGTTCAGTTAGACAATGTTGGGCGATCTTTAGGGCTCCCACTTTATTAATTATGATTTATTTATTTATTTATTTATTTATTTATTTATTTATTTATTTATTTATTTATTTATTTATTTATTTATTTATTATGATAAAGTTATTAAAAGGTAGGTGTCGTTATGATATCTCGTGAATATTTGTCATTTTAGTCTATGCTATATGCCCCTTATGAGGTGCACTTAAATGATATATACGGTATTGCAAATATTGCTTTATTTCAACGACGACGAAAATGCTGGAAAATATATATACATTTGAGCCGCGTCATGACAAAACCAACATAATGGGTTTGCGACTAGCATGGATCCAGACCAGCCTGCGCATCCGCGCAGTCTGATCAGGATCCATGCTGTTCGCTTACCAAACTTATAACAAGTAGAGAAACTGATAGCGAACAGCATGGATCCTGATCAGATTGCGCAAATGCGCAGGCTGGTCTGGATCCATGCTGGTCGCAAACCCATTATGTTGGTTTTGTAATGACGTGGCTCATATATTCTTAATTTATGGCGTTTTTAATTTATGTTTTGTATGGGAATGTCCCGAGATACAATTAATTCATATGTTTTTATTTCGCTGAACAAAGAATGTGGGAAAAGTAAATAATTTAGAATTTTACTTTGAATAATTCAGAATTTTACTTGAAGGCAATAATAATTTTTGCTAAACAACAAGGTTTTCATTCTTTGAAGGTTTTTGAAATAAGCGGTATGTATTTTATTTAGTTCAAGTTGCTTTGTGTATAGGTCGGTGAAAAGTTTGCAATGACATAATGGAATATTGAAAAAATGTTTTGCTTATTTTATTAGCTTAGCATTTCTATAACAAAGGAGAAAAGTTAAAAATTTATTAAAATATGGAATTTAGTTGATGTAGGTTAGTTGTTTAGTTTTAACTAAGAGAGGCAGTTTGATGAAATGCATCATTTTTTTTTAATTTGTTACAACTGGATAATATCTTATAAATATAATTTTCGCGATTTTTTTAAACGAATTATATAGGATATAAAGATTTTTAAACGAATTATATACTATTAAAATAAACAGTTTTTTTAAACGATTTATATAGGATATAAACAATACAAAAAGTAATAAAACATATGCTGAACCAACATTTTCGGTGATTTACCATAATAAATACTTATTGTGAATTTATGTAGTTGAAACACCAGTCATGGCGTCATACGGAAATCCAATGAGTGAATCAACTATTCTGCGTAATCATGTATTTTATCAGAAGAGTTACGTACAGACGGATACCCTACCAGCACCGACCAGAAGTAACTCACCGGTCCGTTTCAAACCACTCCGTAAAAGTAAACCAAAAGCAAAGGTAAATATAATTGTTCAATCTTTTTATTAGGAATTAGATGAATACATGCTCGTTTATTGCTGTTGTTTTTTTTTTAATCATTTTTATTCATCTTTATTCATAAATGAAACGCTGCTATGTACAAAATGTAAAAATCATACCAGTAACAACAAAATTGGAAAACTGAATGAGTAATTATTATTTCAAACACTGTTGTCTACTGCAATTGATCTATCCTTTTTAAATTTATTTTTATATCTAAAATTTTAGTGGGATTTCTGAGTAACTTAGTTTCAAATTATATTTATTTCATAAAAAGCACCTACATAGGATAAATGGTTACAATATACTGAAATAAAATAATACACCCATTTCAATCACAAATATTTAGACTTTTCTTTCAAGTTGATTTCCTATTCGGACAAAACTTTGTAGTTATTGATATATTCATAAAGAAAGATTTTTATAACAATAAAAAATACGATTATGAATTAATTAGTGATAAATTATTTAGTTTATAGCGAGTTTGATTATGTAGAAAGCTATAAGCTTATAGACACATGTTTGAATCAGTTCCTGGAACAGATCTGTACTAGGTAATTGGTGTAAAGCTTACAGACAAAATATTAAGGTTTTGAATTGAGCAAATGTGAAATGTAGTAAAATTATGCAATCTGTTCATCTGTACTGTTACCTACATATGCATCATCAGTTATATAGCCATTTTATCACACGATCGCGAACTGTTACATATACTTAACAGTGTTATAAATAGTTAGATTATATTTAAGTGTTTTCGATAAATACAGTTGTATGAAAATAAATATTTTATGAGTGACGGTAGCCGCGAGTGAAACACGATAATTTTCATATCACAAGATTTCTGTCTACTGTTTACATTTTCACTGCAGGGAAAAATAATTTTTTACATTGAAAATACGGGAAATGAAAGCACGCATTTTATTCAATCAATATTTCATTTATAAGTATATATTAAATTTATTCACTGATTACAATTATAACTCATGATTACGAACGACCGGTAGGGCCATTTCAACTTTATGAATTCTCCATTTCATCTTCATGAATTCACAATTTCAACTTCGTGAATTCCCGATTTCAACATATGGAATTCATGAATTCCCGATTTCAAATTCACGAATTTACGATTTCAACTTCACGAATTCACGATTTCAACTTCATGAAGTTGAAATCGAAAATCCATGAAGTTGAAATCGTGAATTCATGAAATTGAAATCGGGAATTCATGAAGATGAAATCGGGAATTCATGATGTTGAAATGTCCCCACCGGTCTTCCGTACATGATAACAACTCATTCTTATTCATCTTTATAATATGATTTTTGGAAAGAGAAAAGAAAAGAAATAAAGTTTAAGACGATATCGCTCTTGATAGTCCCTTGGTTAAGGCAGCAAATCACTAAAATCCATCTCATCTGTGTTATTGATATTATAAACAACGTAATTGCATTAAGCCAAAAGTCACCCGAATAAATAACTAATTTGTTTATGATAAAAAGAATATTGATTCTAATTTTATCGTAAAATGCCTGATCAAGCGATCCAATTTAACGCAACGTCCCAATGGCTTCATTCGCTTCCTGGCAGCTATTCTACTGTGAAATAGAAAGTACTTTTAAGGGATTAACTTGACATGATGGTTTGAACAAATATTTAGTAATACACTTAATACTTTGCGACCCATACAATTAGTAGTGCAAAAGCATACATAGCACTGTAAAGTAATGGAAAACCTCTTGCGAAATGAAATGATTTCGAGCTGATTGCTTCCTACTTGTTTGGGTCTTGCTTGCACTATGCAATATGGAACGCTGCCTCTTCAAATGAGGATTTTGCATTGTAGCCATCTTTCAATCCTTACGCCTAAAATTATTAGACTAAATTCGAAACACGAGACAGGAAATCTTAGATGTAAAGGTACAAATTAAATGTAAATACACTGTTGCTTTACAAATGAAGCTCTATTTGAACTTAAACATATAAAGATAATTTCTGTTAAAGGCCAGTTATGCCTAAGATATGCTACCATTTTTATTTCTTATTTTTGTTTGGTATTTTTTAACAGCTTCATTTTTATTTTTACTCATTTAGCATGAAGAGGAACTATTTTTTGCTTCCTTTACCCTGTTAGCAATTGGTTTATTTCATATTGTATTAGTATGTTGTATAGAAGTCAAAATAGTACTTTTACCTTTACAACACATTACTGCATGTTCAACGACTTTCGTAGTTGTTAACGTTGTTGCATGCTCAAAATCCATTATTAAAACATTATTAAACGCATGTTTGACATCTCCAAGAATTAAAAAAAATATGTATTTCTGAGCTATAGTGTGCCTTTAGAGGAATATTTTATATTTTTAGCTTCACAAATATATTTGATTTGAAAAAAAATTGGAGAGCAAGAGTCTGTCAAAATTCTCATTATTATATAAAGACATGTTCTGTTTAAACATTTAATCATCTCTCATTCTTCGTCATTGCGAATTGTAAATAACACAAAGGTTTGTGAGTAATGTTTTAAGTATTATCCCCAGGAAAATACTGTCACCCGATGCGTTATTTTATAAACGCTAACAAATACTTCATTGGGACACTGTTTCTATAGGTTTTTTTTATTTTTCAGATTTTTAATAGTCTAATAGTACACTTGAATTAACAGTTCCCTTTGGCCTATGGGAAATTAACATTACAAAAATAGTAAGGGGGTAATAAAATTATATGTAATTTTAAAATTGCAATTGTCAAATTCTATTCTACAGTCCGAGTCCAAAGATAAACCTGTTAAGAAACGATCGTCGTCTGCTTCTCCAGTAAGAAATAAAGCGAGGAATAATATTGAGCAGCTGGACTACAGACGATTACAACGGACAGATCGTCCAAGACCTTGGCAAGAAAAAACGCCGAAACTTAAGCATCATTCCGGAACATTGAGTAAGTTGAATTATCTTTTGAAAGCACGTTCATATCTGTCTGTTTTTGCAGAATAAGTGAGATATCAAACTTTTCCCTTTATTTCTCTGGTGTTTTTTGAAGAAAACATTCAATCAACTGTGAATTTTTAAAATACATTCTTCAATAATAATCATATATTTGTCTGTATTGATATCTTAGCTCTATAAAGTTTATTACTTCTTATATCCAGAGTGTTAAGGAATGACTTGTCCTTGCGTTGGAATATAACACATTTCTTCCATTTAGGACATGAAGTCTAAAATAAGATAATAGCTATATTAATTTTAATAAGAATGCCAAGTCGTTATCTGGTCTATTGGTACTTTGCGAAACGGAACGGAACGAAACGAAACGGAACGAGGGGCACCATATAGGGAAAATAAGAATTCTAGTTTAAATTTGGAAAATCAATTTAATCATAATAGTAAATTATATGAACTCTATATAATCATAGTCGAATGATGTTTAGTGTCCAATGAAACTCATAATACACAAAACATTAATATTTAGTCTTGTTCCGTTACGTTACGCAAAGTACCATTACCCACACGGGTATTGGTATTTTGCGAAACGGAACGAAACAAAAATTAAAGGGGTTAGATATATCGGTGAAAAGGAATAAATCTTTTATTTGTAGTTAAAAGCATAACACTGAATGATTATAAATCGAACATCTGCAAACGAGCACATTTGTACATGTATATGAACCAGAGAGCAACCTTATATTATTTTCCGGTCCGGATATATATAAAGTCTTGTAAACATTACTAAACATAAGCTGTCGAATGAGGAAACTCACGCAGCACGTTAAGAAATGAAATTAAATTCGCCTTGTTTCGTTCCGTTACGCAAATTACCAATACCCACACAGGTATTGGTACTTTGCGAAACGGAACGAAACGAGAACAAATAATTCATTTATAAGAAATATTTTTCAGGGAATTCATATCTAATTATCTAATACGCGTTTATGCTTGCATGCACAAGAATGGTCACAAGAATTTGCAATTCAATATTGTTCAAGCAATTTGCGACAGCTGACAAATCCATAATTTATTATTGGTGTCATGCAACACTTTACTAAAAGTAAAGGCATATTTTCTTATTTAATGTGGCTAGTCCTTTGAATGGATGGAACAACTTATTTCCGGTCGTGCCCACTGAAGGCGACATATACCCCCCCCCCCCAGCATCAAGTCTAGGCCGATACTGCTGGAAACAATACACATGTTAGTAATTCACCGAGCACTGAACACAAGTCGTGATGTCAGCTGCGGCCGGGAACCGAACTCAGACCGCTGTTGTTGTAGTTCAACCTGCTATCCACTGTTCTACTGACTACCTATGTATGAATACTGTTCATACTCTCATACTTTCATAGATACATCTACCTTCATAAATAACCTCGATATGCAATACTGCCGGGCATATTAAATAATCATTTATGGTTTTATATATGTACTTATAATTGCCGTGCCTGGACCTACAAGTCGTATGTATGTTATTAGATTATAGGGAAATTTGTATGTTTGTGACGGGAATATTTTTTGCATAATTCCTTGCATTTACATGCGTCTTATAAAAATGATATTCTTCAAACTACTTTTTACGCTGTTGTTGTCATCATCTTAAATTACAAAATACATATATAACCAAAATAGCCCGTTCTCTCTTGCTTCTTTTTGTTACCAAACCCCACAAAGGTACTTTGCGCAACTGAACGAATAAATATTTATAAAATGAAATTTCTTAGAAATATCGGATAATCGTTTATATGTCTGTATAACTGTCGAGCCTGGATCTGCAACTCATCTTTTCATGTATTAAGGAGAATTTGTATGTTTGTGTTCCTTGCATGTAATCGCTTGTAATGAATATGATTTATCTATTTTTATATGAATTCTTACTATCAGCATCGTGAATTACATAACACATTTGTAACCAAATTAGGGGTCTTTTTATATTTTGTTTCGTTCCGTTTCGTAGAGCTTCGATCTGCAACTTGTCTTTTTATGTGTGAAGGTTACTGGAGAATTTGTATGTTCGTGTGAAGGGAATACTTTTCATGTATTTCTTTGCATGAAAATGGTTGAACTGAAATTCGATTATCATTTATTTTTTTTCTAATTCTATCAGCACCTTGAATCACATAATATCTTTGTGACCAAATTAGCTTTTCCTATCTCGTTTCGTTCTGTTTCGCAAAGTACCAATACCCACAGAGGTATTGGTACTTTGCGAAACGGAACGGAACGAAATGCTGTAACTATAAACTGTATATATACATATCTACGTATCATCATAGAAACATGAACCTTCATAAGATGCCTCGACATTGCAGTACTATAGAGCCGCAAATTGCCGCCTTCAAATAAATCTTATCTAAATCTTACATATTGATTATTGAATAATCATTTATGGTTGTATTGTATAATTGCATGCCAGCATCCGAAATTCGACGTGTTTGTCCAGAGATAAACATGATTTTCTTAATTCTTATTGTCTGCATCTTGAATTACATAATACATATACATGTATAACCAAATTAGCCCTTTCTCTCTCGTTTCGTTCCGTTTCGCAAAGTACCAATACCCACACAGGTATTGGTACTTTGCGAAACGGAACGAAACAAGAGAATATTATTTTATTTACATGAAAGTTTTCAAGAATATCAAATAATCGGTTAATCGTTTACATGTGCGTGTTTGTATAACTGTTGAGTTTGGATCTGCATCTTTTTATGTAAGGAAGAGAATTTGTAAGTTCTTGAAGGGAATACAGTTCGCATATAGACTGTAACCTTAATGAAAAATTATTTTCCTTCTAATTATACTTTTTATAGTCAGCATCTTGAATTGCTAAAAACATATATAACCAAATAAACATTTCCTACCTGGTCTCGTTCCGTTTCGTTTCGCAAAGTACCAATACCCACACGGGTAATGGTACTTTGCGAAACGAAACGGAACGAGATTTTTTATAAATATAGTTTTGAAATTCATATATAATAATCGTTTATGCTTGCATGTGCAATAATGGTTAAGCCTGAATCTGTAAGTCGTTGATTATTTCAGCTTTAAAAAGCCATTAACGGAAATTACGGGTAACACACTGTAATTATATACACACCTACGTATACGATCCTTTATAGAGATACATGTAACTTTATTAGATGCCTCGATATCGACATGCAGTAAAGGGCCTCCATGGCCGAGTGATTAATGTCGCTGACTTCAAACCACTTGCCCTTCATTGATTTGGTTAGAGCCTCAGTCGGGGCGTTCAATTCATCATGTGAGGAAGCTATCCAGCTAAATTGCAGTAGGTCGGTGGCTCTACACATGTGTCCTTTCGTGATGAAATCATGCACGCACGGTCACCTGGGTTCTTCCTCCACCGCCCATGCTGAAAAGTCGCCATATGACCTATAATTGTATCTTTGCAACGTTAAACCCAACAAATAAATTGACATGTAATTTAATAGAGTCGCACATGTCGAATAATCCTTCAATGTTATACGTATTATTAATGATCAACATTATTTTTTGTCCAATCACATTGTAGTATTTTTCAAATTTCTGCTAAGTCTTACTTTGGTTAATGTGCATTAACTAAAAAAAATTTACTTAATCTGTCGTCTAACCAGTCTAACAAATTTCAATAATGCATTATAATTATTAGGGAGGAGTTAGATGTGTGATTTGCACTCTGAATTGTAAAATATCTAAGGTTATCAAAACAATGCCAACGTAAAAAAATTAAGCGAGGTCAGGTGTTCTAAATGTGAGGATACAATCAATTAATTATTACATAGATAATACATGTGGGGCACGCAGAGACAAATGATCACATAGTAACTTTTTTATATCCTATTAACTCTAAGAAAAATGTCTGTTATAAATTGCTGACTGATTTAAACTTTATATTTTCTAGAAAAGTAACCAAAACATTATTTTCTTTCAGTTCATAGTACATTTGTAACTGCATTAACAATCCTTGATATCAAGAATACAATGTTTACATGTTTGGCTGGAAAATTCATTGTAAATGGACCCCCTCCACCTGTAAATTAAAACTAGAATTCCTAATTTCCCCTATATGGTGCCCCTCGTTCCGTTTCGTTTCGTTCCGTTCCGTTTCGCAAAGTACCAATAGCCGTTATCTGTGCTGCCTTAATGTTTTAACGACTTTGAATTTTATTAATTAAGCCCATTTCCTAAGGACACTATAACTGGGGTGTGTTAATGAGTGATTGAGAAGTCCAGTCAATCATTTACAGCTCCCCAGGTTCTATGTCTTTGTCTTGGTGTTGTTTCAGAGTTGATGTATGACGGCGCACTCCCTGAATTCATTGATAAATCTAAGGCGACATTGCGTGCCAGAAAATATGTATCCAACACTAAATACGGGAATATATATGAGATAAGGTAAAATACATTTTGAATTATTCAAACGCCCATTTGTTTGTTTCTGTTTATGTTTATCTTAAGTAGCAGTAGTAGAAAAGTAGTAGTAGTAGTAGCAGTAGCAGTGGTAGTAGTATGTTTTAGTTTTGATTTTGGTAAAATTTCTTTGGGACTTCATTACTGTTATGAGAAAGAAATGTACCTATCATTGTATTTTATAGATTTGATCTGCTAAATAAGTAACACAATTCAAGTCCGTTTTTTGTTATTTAACAATCAATTATTCATAGGTACGTTAATATGAAGTTAGGTAATAGTATTCTTTAAACAATAAATGAGATTTTTTATTTTCTCTTTTGTTATTGATACCATTGAAAACACGTTAAAATAACATTATCTATTTATTTTTGATTTATACAAATTGTATCCATGTCCTATCATTATTTTATATTTAGAGAGGAGGTGCCGAAAAACAAAAGAACAAAGACACCGCCGCCTAGAAAATGGATTTGGGAAGATGATTTTCTACTTTGGATGCATGGTTCTAGAGAAAAATACATGGAGGAGATCGGTTCAACACGACATAAACAAATATCAGCTATACAAGGCTCTTCACCAAAGTCAACAAATACCAGCACTCCCAGGTAATTACATGTCAGAATTTCTTAAACACCTTTACAATATTATTCTATCGGTTAAATGTATATATAATCTTATGCACTAGCAGTGTTAAATAAATGTATTGACTTCGTCGTGCTTTAAAACTTAGGGACTTGTAAAGCAAAGAATCTGGCGCTTTCTTGAAAAGAAAACACTGTAATAACAATTTATGATGAAGTGCACCAACTAGCATTTTTAAAATTATACCATTTTATGCGTTAATGGGAAATGCATTTATTTTACAGACCGGGAAGCCTTCCCTCCATCAAAGAACATTGCCGTCCTAATGCAGAAATTTACGCGTAAGTTGATGAACACGATGCATGTGTCAGAAAAACAAATACTCGCGCATGAAGACATTCTTTAAAACATATTGACATTATGTATTTCACCTCTTTATCTACACAACGTGCATGTTTTATTTAGTATTATACATGTATATGCATGTCATACAGTGAAAATATATAGTTAGAAGTCAATTTAAAGTATTTTTCTTTCTTTTTCTTTCCTTCATTACTGGTAACATCAAAGAAGTCTTTTTCGCAGGTGCTTTTAAGCTTGCCTAATTGTGCTTTTAATAAAAAGAATGAAGCATGGCTTTTACTTTTCATAAATTAATTTACATGTTTTCTACACTGTGAAATAGATTTTATGACCCATAATAACTATTTATAACATTTATAAATTGTCGATACAGCGTAATTGAAATCAACTATATTTGTAAATGATAAATAATTGAATAAGTAATCACTTGATGTTGTGTTTCTCTTATCAAGTTGCTGGTCTACACTTAGACAATCACTGAATAAATCATGATTTTCACATTATTTCAAATCATGATTTTATAACTGCTTTTTGTGAGCAAATTACATGATAAATAATAAATATATTGCGAGTGCATATCATTACCGTATGTACATATATTGTACATTTACATTTCATAGTTAGTTCAACAATACTATATGTACTTTGTTAGACCTAGCGTCCACAAATTTGTTACACTGATTAATACAACAAAAAAATTAATTCTGAAAAATTAACTTCTTAAAAGTAAAGAGAAAAACGGAATCTCCGAAAAAAATTAAGAGACGAAGAACACCTTAAACGGCAAAAGTTAGAAATGTGCAAACCCATAAGAATTTAGATTATGGTCATATATTTTATGGTTTTTTCTACTAAAAAACTTTTTAAACTTTTAAAGGCATGTTGGAATGATCCAACTATTTTAAGACACACTGCATCCTTATTGTTCAATCCTTTCACATTTGGACACTATGACTACGATTTCGTTTTCTGATTGGTCAAGTGAGAGACTATGATGGACAGTTCTTAAAGCCCGATTGGTACTGATTTTTTTACTTTTTCGTCTTCTGCCATGTTTCGTTGGGCCCCAGTACTTGTTTTTCGTGCTTGTTTCGTTTGACCATTGTAGTTGCTTCCTTGTTGCTCTGCCTTCCTTTAAAGAACATTTGAACATTTTTGTTACGGGTCATTAGATTTCTTTAACAAATATTTATATAACCTTTGTAACCATAGCAACTGTTGGAATTTCGAACCGCGGAAATCATATATTTAAACTGTATTGTCTCATATAAACATTTTGCGGCTAAGATGAGGTTTGGTGCACCTTAGCTGGTTAAAACTCTCTAGCAGTGATTTTGTGATCGTTTCACAGCGATGCATATCACAAACAAGCCAAAGTTGTTACACATGTACTTCAATGAATCGGCTGATCATTAATCAGTCTAGTAAATCAAATGTTTATATAAAATTGCGGTCGTTCTTGGACAGTTTTATATGGCAAATGCCTAAAAACACTAATCTATACTTAATTGTTGATCATTCTCTGATATTGTAGTAAACATGTTTGATAATGTATATGTTTCTGACAAGAAATGCTATACATTTAAACTCATTGTGACGCTATTGGTGATCGTATTGTACGCGCATGAAATGATAGCCTTATTATACAAACACTTTTTTCTGTTTTGTTCTGAAAAGTCACGTTTATGGAATTACTCAGCTGTACAAATAACTTTTTTTTTTCAGTTTTGTTCTGTAATATTACGTTTTGGAGTCTCTTAATTAAACCCTTGTTGCCAGTGTCACATCACAGATAGTATTTCAATGATATCCGGTTATAATCGAAGCTAAGGACTATTAAAATTAGCAATGATATAACAAATATACACTATCGAATGTACCTTCATGATAAGGTTGCAGGCAGTTATTGATTTTCAATGTTGCGTTTGCTGACATCAGACTTTAGTTTATTATGTATTTACTATTTACCCTAGATTATAAACAATATGTTCCTGGTGTATTGATAACTCAACGAATAAAGAAACAACATTGAAATTACTTAAAATTCATCAAAGCCGGGGAATATGAATAGAATTAATATAAACTGATCAAGAGTTCCTTGAGATTGCAAATGAAGTCTTTGAGAGTTTAGAACAGTTGCAAATAAAATATAGCAAAAAAGGGAAAGAAAATAACAAAGCAAAAACAGTTTTTACCGAAAATGTGTCGATAAGTCATACAAACATGCGTTGGACTTTGACGACTTTTCAATTGCACAATAGCCATAGGTCAAAATGTTACTATAGTTGTTTTCTTTAATATCATTTCATTCAATATCATTTTGTTTTCTTCCCACGTGTATATTTAAATCAAAATGCACGATTTCACTAAGTTGTGTGGAGTTGGTCTGGTGATAACTGCTTCTGTCTCTCCACCAAGGGATCAAAGGTTCATGTCATCAGGGGTCACATCATGTATCGACATTATGACAACAGTTTCAAGTGCTTCCGGTGTGGTTTGTAAAAAGCTGCAAAGTTTCGTGGCAGTCAATTGCAAGTCTATATAACTACGATTGTATCATAGTTTGGAGACCTTTCTATTATAAATGTGTCAAGTTAAATCGTATACAATCATGCCCATTGACTTGCTCATTTTTGCTGGGGTAACTTATTGTGACGGCAGAAAAAGGGAAAGCGATAGTAATATCATATTCAGACGCTCGTTCATTGGTTACTTTTTTCTATGGTTTCATATTGTGAAAACAGGGAACGTGTTTTTATGATTCACATTAGCATACATCTGAAAAAGTTCATATACTGATGTATTGGCAAGCTTTATTTCGGCTATTCGAAGAATTAGGAGAGCTATTGTACGCACACTTTTGGTGTATTGCGTCACACTTTGGGTAAGTTTTTGCGTGCAAGTTGGCATCTTAAAAAATGGGTAAGGAAATTTTTGTAAACTTCACACACATATTTGAGAGCATAATATGAGGTCATTGTCCAAGGTTCGTAACTCTTAAATGGATTTTGATAAATTAATGGCCCTTTTTGGACTTAGAAAAGTCTATATTATAAAGCTCTTGTTTTATTATCAAACACTGAGAATAGTTGAGCATGCTTGTCTATTGACGTTCTTGTTATTTATTATTATTACAATCTCGTGCTTTACTATTCTGTTCAGCTACTCGGAAAATTATCGATTGATTTTATTATAAATCATAAACAGGCTTAAGAATAATGTGATCATGAAGTCATGCGTTTGTTGATACACATGCAACTTTTGTAATTGAATTTTCATTAATGCACAATATATATGCATGCAAATAGATAATGTATCATTCATTGTTGGTCGTCAATAAACACAAAATGTTTGTTACTACAATAAAGTTTGTTATTAATATAACATTATATCATAACGCAAATTATGATAGTGTTCCACTACAATAAATATTTACAAAATTGAATATGCGTATTTTCATTAGGAATATATGAACTCCAGTAAATAGAAATTGAAATATAACTCCGTTTAATGGGTATTAAATTTGGTATAATTTTTGTTTATTCATAAATGTATATTAATGATAAAATTGCATATTTGAAAGTGGTTATTTGTTTTTTGTTGTATTATGTTTGACTAATTTACATATAAGATATTTATAAACCCTTTGGATGCCAGCAGCAGACAGGAATTGTCTTTTTTAATCAGCAGAGAGGAAAGACATTTACAAACCATTGTAATTTGATTTTGCGATATAATATTGATGGTTGCTCAATCACTTATTTGCAAACGTTGTACTATAAAATCACAATGCAATGTTTAGAGGTCCAAGGAGTGGCACACGTTAAGCACTTTATGGTAAATTAGTTATTATATTGCATTATTTCTTGTAAGGACACAAATAGGTAGCGACGTGGCAAAGTGGTTAACGCGTCGGACTTGTAAACTAAAGATATCACTAGCTACACTAAGGGTTCAAATCCCGTCAGTTTCTGAACATGCTGCGTCGGACTTGTAATCTAAGGATCACTACCCGCTATGGTTCAAACCTCGTCAGTTTCCGAACATGCTGTTGTTTCCTTGAGCAGGAAACTTAACACACATTGCTCAGTACTGGTTGGTTTAAAGAACGTTCTCGAGAGTGTGTTTATATGCTAATAGCTTCCTAAACACCCGGTTACAATAAATATTTTTAAAACCAAAAGCCTAAAGGGTTTGTTCAGTACTAATAGATCCCCAAAATTTAAAATTTTTGGCTTCAGTTAAACTTTCCCTTTTCGAACAAAACGCGACTGGCTGCCCCTTGTTATCCAAAAAGTTTTCCCCGGATGGGATGTGCGTAGCGTGATAAAAAAAAATTTTTTTTTGATTTAAAAAAAAATTTAAGCAGGATGAGTTGACTTTTAAAAAACAAAAAATTGAAAAAAATTTTAGACAAAAATTTTTTCATTTCGATATTATTTTTTTAATTTTTTAACATGCAAGGTTTTGTTTTGTTTGTTAATTGTCTGTCGGTAATAAGTTTACAACAATAATGATAAGAACATAAACGAACCAAGAGGATAATCTATGGTAGAAATTAAGGTAGAGACTTACTGTCTAATATATTGTCTGAGCTTTAAAAGCAACACTTCGAAATATGGCTACATATTGACCTATCAATACATACAGTCGTATAGCAATTTTGGTTATTGCGCTTGTAAAATGTATTTAGTTAAACACAGAAGTTTAAATCTACTGATGAATAAAACTTTCCCAAGTGAAGACTCATGTAAAAATGATTCGCAATAGCAGGGCTTTCCTAAACAAAACAAAACCTGAAAGAAAAGCAAATGAAAACCATCATAAAAGTTTTTTATTAGTAGAGTACGGTCATTGATACGACCAATACATTATATGTTAACATCTACTGGCTATTTTACATTTCTTGTCATTGAAAATCACTTTCAGTCTTCTAGTGCAATGGTACTTTCATTGAAATATGGTCTTTACATTTTGTCACATGGTATGTTTGACCGATATCCTCCATTCGGTGTTTGCATCATTTAACTCAATATCAGTTAAATCATAGTAAAATAAATGTATGCTTATAATTATGTTTTGTGATTAATAAAGCTGCCTTTAAAGCTATAATGTGTGATGATGTACAAAGGCAAGGTATAATTATGTTTATATATTATACTAGTATATGGTAATTATTATTATATTGCATGACTTTCTTTATGATAACGTTTTAATGTTTGGTATAGGCCCTTTTAGAACATGGTCGTCCGTGGATGAAGTTTATATCAGAATATAAAGATTTAGTGGCACGTATCCGATACAGACATGGTTTAGAGAAACAGTCGTGTCGTGTAGATCTTAAACAGCTGGAGGACTTTCTAAACAGGAAACATAGTAAAACATTTCTATCATATCTTTTTAAAAACTTCTGTGCCACATAAGGTGGTTTGGACTCAACAGGTAAATGTTAAACTTTTTCGTATTAAATAAACAGTCTATTCAAATTCATAAGATTTGCAACATACCTTTATAGATTCTGCATAATTTTAATTGTTATATAATACATTGCGCATTTAACTATTTTGTTAAAACACGTACCATTTAATCTAAACGTGATTTTTTCTTCAATACTTTTATTTTCGTCAATAAATCATTGTAATTTTCAAAATAATCATGTTTAACGACTACAACTCACTTCCCCTTCACCGTTACATATATTATTTCACGTCAGGAAGTTTCAAGCTAGCTAAAAAGCCGGTGGTCTTACTGGCCTGAAATAAGGTACGAAAGTAGCGCCTGAGCTCTTTCTGCACCAGTAAAGCAATACTTCCTTTACAGTGTTGGTATACCTTACAAAATCTAAGTGTTATTTCCAGTGTATGAGAAAACGTTCCGACAATTTGCACCAAGTGGAAAGCTGCATAAAGTTGATCTCTTGGAATATTTCAACAGATGTGACTTATGGCCAACACAGCGGGAAATAAACAATAGTTTTGACACCATTTTCAGAGGTAAGTTAAGTGAATGTTAACATTTTGCTAACTTTATCACAAACATATACATTCAACAATATTCATCTAGTGACAAGCACGTCACATGTTCTATATAAATTAATTCAACACATGACTACCCCGCCCTTTCTAAAAAAAAATATTCATTTCTTAGGCACAATGTGAAAAAGGTGCTTTTAATTAACTAAATGAAAACTATGCACTTTCCGTGATTTTATTCTCAATTATTGAACAGTGTTATGAAAACTATTGCTACGTACACAAACGGTTATTAGTTTAATAGAGCCTTAGTTTGATATTTCGATCTAAAGGAATAGCCCGATTCCTCTAATTTCCTATTATGAAGTTAGTCCTGTCAAATCATTACATTGTTTGTATATTGAATTTGCAGGTGCCATAGCAGTCTTTTTTAATGTTGTAATTTCAATATTATTCAGGTTCCAGAAATACTGCAGAAGTTGTATTTTTGTTGGATTGTTCAACCAGTACTGGTATAGTAGGATTCCATAACCTGATCAAGTTTGTACAAGATCTCGTGCGTACACTCGATATTGCCCCAGACAAAACACGAGTTGGTGTTGTTCCATTTAACGAAGACATCTTCAGCTCTTTTAGTTTATCGAAGTATGATAACAAGAAAGAGCTATTAGAAGCAATATGTAAGTTCAACACGACGATCAAAGATTGGTCTTAAAACTTTACTCATTTCATTCTGTCAGTTGGCTCACTGGCAACTGGTATGATGAAACCTAGCGGATAGGTATGTAAACGGTATTGCAGTCTGTGCTACTTAACATAATAATATTTCATTGTTGTATAAATATATTTCATAATTATATAGGTTAAAAAGTGCAGCAAATTTTTTTAATTTTTCAGCGCGTGTCAAGCTCTGGCATGGATTGACACGGACAGACCTTGCTCTCCGGGTAATGAGAGGCATGTTCAAGGTGAGTAAAACATACAAAGAAGTGCTCTCACCCCACCTTCATCTGCCATCCCCCCCCCCCAACACCTGTCCTTGGATGGTTGGTTGGTTGGCTGGCTTTATAAATTGTATGGTGATAAACACTTATTATATCATCTTGGGACAATGCTTTTACTTGCCTATGCACACGTCATTGAATAAATGGAGTATAAAACAAGGAAATTTATTGTAACCACTTTTGTCTTTGGTACCAGTGAAGGGTCAAATTATGAATATGCATGCAGACCATTTAAATGAAAGTCGAAAAATTGATAAAATAGAATAATTGTACTAAATATTATAGCTTGTAAAAGATGTACATGTATATTTGTTTCAGGACTCACGACCTGGCGTCCAGAAAATTGGTTTAGTGTTGACTGATGGTCAATCCACATACAACGACAAAACGATAAAGGAAGCACAACTTTCACATGAGATGGGGATACAGATGTTTGCAATCGGTTAGTGTTTAATACGTCGAAATTTAGAGTTTGGTTTACTACATTTTTATTTTATTTATGTTAAAACTATAAGATACATTCAAGCATAAGCCTAGTATCAGGTCATTATTTTAAAGGCATTGAGAGGTTTCAGACACAATATGCGGTTTTTAACTAATCAGTAAAAGTACATGTAGTTAAAACCCCGAAAGTGATTCGACTTAACCATAGTTATATAGAGCCAGGACGCAATATGACAATGCTACAATTATTACGTATTGCCATACGGCCATTTTTATGATACTCTTTTTTTTTTCTCTTAAAAACTTTTAATTAAATCAACAATTAAATCACTTGAAATAATTCAATATATAAAACATTAAAAGTGATATTTTGAGCATTAAAAGCAAAACTGATGCCTTGGTTGTCTTTTGTAAACTTTTTTCAGGTATGGGCAGCAAAGTTGATTTGTCTGAATTACAACACATAGCAACAAATCCCGACAGCCTATTTCATATCCATGACGCTGGTTCCCTGGGCGTCATTCGTAGGCAAATCGAGAAAAGACTTTGTCTTGGTAATGTATTGAATTATACATTTACAATAATTGGGTATATAGTAATGAAAATGTGCAGTGAATTAAGTCAAGGTGGGTTCTGTTAAAAACTTATCATTATTATCTTCTTTCTTTTGCATTTTGTGTTTAAATATAATTCACTATTAAATACAATCGATATAAACATAATTTTATACCTATATTTTGACATGAAATTATGAAATAATCAATATCACATGTTAGTAACATTGACTTTGTTTAATCCATTTCAATGATTAATTTATCTTGGAATGAAAATACGAAATGATATTAAGAACAAAAGCTGTCAGTAAGACAGCGTGAAAGACTACTCTCAGTGCTTGACAGTAAAACAAGAGCCTGGATAATGCACAGTTTTCTACTTTCTGAGAGCGAGTATAATAGCTTTCCCTATTTTCGGAATAGTCGAGCTAAAATAATTGAATGTTCTACTTGTACAGTGTCGTGCAGCTTCTGTCAACATCTAATTCCGAGGATTTATAAATATGGTATACTCCAGAACGAGGCTATTGTTATAATATGGACAACGTTTCCCCCTAAAGCTGCAAACCTCGATAACAAACGTACATTACAAAGGTTCCGATTGGGTATGAAAATTAGCACATGCCTTATAAGGAAAATATGTACTTTCACAAAATTTAAGAATTCTTACGATAGCTTCATTGCAATAGGTACAAGGGAGCTTATATCGCAAACAGTCTGTTACTTTTCTCACAGTGTACTCTTATCACAAATATTGTACATGTACAAATGTATTTCACAGATATACCACAATATACACCAATCAAAGCATCAAGTACAAGCCATATCTGCCGACCTATTGACCAATCAGAAGCGCTAGAAGTTATCTGGACCTGCTATCCGCCATTGGTGTGCGGAATTACCCGATCTTCCAGGTGGATAAGGCCGATAGTGAAAGGGAAAGAAGCGTGGTCATTGCTAGGTGCGGCCGAATTCTCATAATATAACGTTCTACAAAAGATGTATTTGTTTCATTAATTCTATACATTACCATGATTACGTTTCTGAGCTTTGTTTTTCTAAGAAAACAGACCAAAAGAAATATTATATCTTGCAGATTTTAAAAATTGTAAAGTAAACACGGGAGTTTCGTCTTTTCTTGCCTTTGCTGTTAGGATATATTATTTCTAAATACTTTTTAGAAGTAATGGAACTACATTTAATTTTTTTCATGGTTTGAAACAGTGGCTGCAAAGGCTACCATTTAAGATCACTATGCTTACTCACTGCATTGCTCATTTATAAATACAATGTTTACCTATTTTAAGGCTGTTGATAAAAGACAGAGTTTTGTCTCATTGCAGATTATAAACAAAAAATGAATAATTCCGTTATTTTGCCTTATTGTTGTGGTTCTTTTCAAATTCATATAACCTTAAAGAATCTTCAAATAACAGAATCACTTATGTTTATAACATAAAATTTTGAATCATTTAATAAATATTTCATCAATTTGTTTGCAGACGATGATATAATAAGAGCAACAGGAATGAAGGCGTGTTTACGGCTGGTTATCCAATCACGACTGCAGCGTCATGGTTATATCACAGTGCCATCTGACGTCAGAGATGACGTAGAGCAAGTGACAAGTGAAACTGAAGCATTGCAAATCATTGAAAAATTCATTGAAGATCAGATGAAAAGTAAATAAAAGAACAAATTCATTGAAATTCAGATAAAAAAAGTAGATCTTGAAGAACAATATCATTTTTGAGATCAGATGATATTTCAATAAATTAAAGAACGTTTATGTTTAACTAACAGGCCCACTGCAAAAGCTTAAATTTTTGTTTGTTTTGATGGGTGTAAAGTTCTATAAGCTAGCTGTATAAGTTCCACACATATAAGAAACCACAGCATTGAAGGGCAAGGTCTGAAATCAGCGACCACAATGCAAGAGCTTAAAATCTATAATTGTTATCTTCTGCTCACAAATGATCTATCTAGTGACTGGGAAATTTTATAAGAGCGCTCAAATAGCCCTATTTACGCAGAAGAATGTCCCTTAATTTTAAGGGAACACCTTGGTTGTAATTTGGAATATAACAATTTATTCATAGCTGATTTAATAAATTTTATTTCACTAAATGTTGATCCTAAATATCAGATTTTATGAATTATTTTAGTTTAGATTTCTTGAATCCTTTTAGATCGTCCTTCTTTACAACTTGAACGCCAGATTTCCACATTCCAACTTGACCATCCAGATGTCCAATATCATTCCGGTCACGTGGTCTGAAATAATATATATTTAAATTTATTACGAATAATATCAAACACATTATTCATGACATAAAGAACATAAATCAATTTTTTTTTTGAAATATAAAACAGATATTAAACTTGTATCCTTTCAATAAATACTTAGAGCAGCCCTGTTTGATAATCAAAAAATATGCTTAGAATGATAGTATGGATGACAAAAATCATTGTCTGGTTATTCCTGTATAAATATTACGTAAAAATAGTCTTAATGTTAGATATAGATTTTTTTTAATTAAGTAGAGCTAAATATTTTTGTTTGTCTCTTGTAAAAAATCATATTTTTTGCCATGTTTTCTTCAGGCTCTTTTAATATTTGTCTGTTTTGGGGGGTGTACTTTGTTTGATTTGTTTTCTTTTATTTTTTGGTTTTTGTATTTCAAACTTTTAAATAGATATGAACTAAAAGTCTGTTCACTGGTGAGACTTCAATAAACTATAATCATATAAAATAAGCATGGGTAAATTCCTTTCTGAAAGGGACTGAGCTTGCCAGCATATATTTCTGCTCAGTGAGTCTCACTGAAATGTTAACTTATGTCTGTCCTGAAAAAATGTTAAAGTTGTTGAAAGCACTGAATGTATAATAACAAAACTATTTAGAGAGGTTTGTCTAAAGGCACAAGCTAGTGCTAGATAATACAACGACTGTAGTAAATAAACCAATTGAATGATATATTTTTGTTTACCTTTTCTTTCCTCTGTTTGCTTTAGGTATCTTATAACCCAGTTTTCTGTCCTGAAATATAAAAAGAAAAATCTGATTGCACCATCTATATATTCATACAAGTAAATCTATCTTTAAGTTGGATTTTAGTCAATGCCTCACCATTGAAAATCTTTCAATAACTTCAAGTTTTCTAATGAATAAGGACAAAACCATGTGTTTTGTGCTAATTGTTTGAGGTAATCATAGGCTAATGGTTTGAACCATTGATCATGCCTTGGTAAAAACAATGACTATGCTTGGTAGAACCATTGACCACACTTGGTATAACCACTGATCATGCTTGGTATTACCACTGACCATGTTTCGGTATAACCAATGACCATGCTAGGTAGAACCACTGACCACGCTAGGTAGAACCACTGACCATGCTTGGTAGAACCACTGACCATGCTTGGTATAACCACTGACCATGCTTGGTATAACCACTGACCATGCTTGGTATAACCACTGACCATGCTTGGTATAACCACTGACCATGCTTGGTAAGATCACTGACCATGCTTGGTAGAACCACTAACCATGCTTGGAACAACCACTGACCATGCTTGGTATACCCAATGACCATGCTTGGTATAACCACTGACCATGCCTGGGCATAACCACTCACCATGCTTAGTAGAACCACTGACCATGCCTGGTAGAACCACTGAGCATGCCTGGTATAACCACTGACCATGTTTGGTATAACCACTCACCATGCTTTGGTAGAACCACTGAGCATATTTAGTATAACCACTTATCATGCTTGGTAGAACCACTGACCATGCCAGGTAGAACCACTGACCATGCTTGGTAGAACCACTGAGCATACTTGGTATAATCACTGATCATGCTTGGTAGAACTACTGACTATGTTTGGTTTAACCACTGACCATTCTTGGTATAACCACTGACCATGCTTGGTATAACCACTTAGTTCTAGTGCTTTATTCTTTCAAATTAACAAGTTATATATTAAATTTTTCAGTTCTGTATGCCTGTTTTTTTTTTGTTATTGTTGTATCTAAGTCACATCCATATGACACTGAGGTGCCTGTTCGTACATTATTTTAGGTACAAGCAGGTACCAGAGTATAACCACCAACATATTGTAAGCTAGCAGGATAGCTTATTTACATGAAAGAGTTCAAAGTCCCTGACATAATTCAAACCCACAGCAGGCACCTCAGTAGAACCAACCACATTAGCATTGAGAGGCAAATGGTTCGAAGTCTACAACCATAACCACTTAGCCACAGACATGAGTTTCTATTTTATCTATTAGGTACTGTTAAAATAATGTTAACGCACCATTTCTCGTTTCTCCTTCTCCTCCATCTTCTGTTTCTTCTTGTTTTCCTGATAGTCCTTGTAGTTTATATACTTGTTTTTAGGTGGCTGAAACATTACAAACATAACATTGACCAGTCTGTAGAACTTGCATTTACATTTATATTCTGCAACAATTGTTTTCAGTTTACCTTTGGTGGGTGGGGTAAGCCAAATTTGCATTTTTATTAAAGGGGATGGGGCAAAGTAACATGAATTTTTTATTCTGGACAGTGAAATTCCTTAAAAATTTGTAGACTGCTAAGATATGTGATGTACTGTAAGAAAATAATAGGTTTAGTAATCGTCATTTACTTATGTTTTGAATAGGGCCCAAGCGAGTTGTAGTACCTTAAGATGAAACAAGATATGTTTGTAAAACATGTATGCCCCCTATCAGCAGCCAATTAGTTTTGTGATAAGGTTATTATGCATGACTTCTCACCCAGTGATCAAACAATTAATAAGGGTTATCAAGTATCTACTGGTCATGACCTTAACCTTTGACCCCTTGACCCAAAACTCAATAGGGGTCATCTGCTGGTCACGACCAATCATCATACAGAGTTTGAAGTTCCTAGGCCTAAGCGTTTTTAAGTTAATTGATTGGAAACCATTTTACCTACAAGGTCAATGTGACCTTGACCTTTGACCCCTTGACCCTAAAATCAAGGAGGTCATCTGCTGGTCATGACCAATCACCATACCAAGTTTGAAGTTCCTAGGCCTAAGGGTTCTTTAGTTATTGATCGGCAACCGTTTTAAAACATACAATGTCAATGTGACCTTGACCTTGACCCCAAAATCAATAGGGGTCATCTGCTGGTCATGACAATTCACCATACCAAGTTTGAAGTTCCTAGGCCTAAGCGTTCTTAAGTTATTGATCAGAAACCGTTTTTACTTACAAAGTCAATGTGACCTTGACTTCTGACCCCTTGACCCAAAACTCAATAGGGGTCATCTGCTGGTCATGACCAATCATCATACAAAGTTTGAAGTTCCTAGGCCTTAGCGTTTTTAGTTAATCAATCGGAAACCGTTTTTACCTACAAGGTCAATGTGACCTTGACCTTTGACCCCTTGACCCCAAAATCAATAGGGGTCATCTGCTGGTCATGACCAATCATCATACAAAGTTTGAAGTTCCTAGGCCTTAGTGTTTTTAGTTAATCAATCGGAAACCATTTTTACCTACAAGGTCAATGTGACCTTGACCTTTGACCCCTTGACCCCAAAATCAATAGGTCATCTGCTGGTCATGACCAATCACCATACCAAGTTTGAAGTTCCTAGGCCTAAGGGTTCTTAAGTTATTGATTGGAAAGCATTTTTTACCTACAAGGTCAATGGACCGTGCCCTTTTGACCATTAACCCCAATATCAATAGGGGTCATCTGCTTGGTCATGACCAATCACCATACCAAGTTTGAAGTCCCTAGGACCTAGAGGTTCTTTCGTTTATTGATCGGAAACCGATTTTACCCTACAAGGTCAATGTGATCTTGACCTCTGACCCCTTAAAAACCCAAAATCAATAGGGGGTCATCTGCTGGTCATAATCAATCACCATACCAAGTTTGAAGTTCCTAGGCTAGGGTTCTTTTTTGTTATTGATCAGAAACCGTTTTTAACCAAGAGGTCAATGTGACCTTGACCTCTGACCCCTTGACCCCAAAATCAATAGGGGTCATCTACTGATCATGACCAATCACCATACCAAGTTTTGAAGTTCCTAGGCCTTAAAAGTTCTTTTAGTTATTGATCGAAACTGTTTTTTGCTTACAAGGTCAATGTGACCTTGACCTTTGACCTTTGACCCCAAAATCAATAGGGGTCATCTACTGATCATAAACCAATCACCATACCAAGTTTGAAGTTCCTAGGCCTTAAGGTTCTTTAGTTATTGATCGGGAAACCGTTTTTGCTTACAAGGTCAATGTGACCTTGACCTTTGACCCTTTGACCCCAAAATCAAATAGGGGTCATCTACTGGTCATTGACCAATCACCATACCAAGTTTGAAGTTCCTATGCCTTAAAAGTTCTTTAGTTATTGATCGGGAAACCGTTTTTGCTTACAAGGTCAATGTACCTTGACCTTTGACCCCTTGACCCAAAAATCAATAGGGGTCATCTACTGGTCATGACCAATCACCATACCAAGTTTGAAGTTCCTAGGCCTTAAAGTTCTTTAGTTATTGATCGAAAACCGTTTTTGCTTACAAAGGTCAATGTGACCTTGACCATTGACCCATTGACCCCAAAATCAATAGGGTCATCTACGATCATGACCAATCACCATACCAAGTTGACATTCCTAGGCGTTTAAGGTTTGAGTTAGTTATTAGATCGGAAACCGTTTTTGCTTTTACAAGGTCAATGTCACCTTTGACTTTGAACCCCTTGACCCCAAAATCAATAGGGGTCATCTACTGGTCATTTTCCGACCAATCCCCTTTAAACAAGTTTTTAAGTTTGGGCCTGGGGGGGTTTCTTTTTAGTTTACTGGAAAATTTTGGGTTACGGACCGACGGACGACAAGTGAAAAGCATATCCCCCCTTTTTTTTGAAAGGGGGGGCATAATTTTGTTACAACTTAAAATTAAAACAAAATCTATTTTTAAAAGAATACATTGCTTAACAGAATAAAATCTTAAATTCAGTAAAACATCTAAAAATTCAGATTTACTCCACTATAGCATCTTGTTTTTTGAAATATCCAAAAATTTTACAACACATTTGAAATTTTACCAAATAATCTAAATTTTATGTAACCATCGGACATATAAGCATACTTCCATAAAAAATATACCCTTTAATCTAGCCCTAAATACATGATGTGCCTAACTTATTTTTGGCTCCTAACTTGATAGAAGTGCAGTCATAGTTCTTCTTTTCTTTTCCAGGAAACCTTTAATACCAAATTTTAAAACATAAAATTTGCTTGTCTCATGTAAAACTCGGGCCCGTTTACTGTTTCTTTCCCTTTTGTTTTTTCTGCTTTTATTAAAATTGTTTAAATGAGCCGCGTCATGCACAACCCAACATAATGGTTTGCGCCCAGCAGGGATCCAGAATAGCCTGCGCATTTGCGCAGTCTGACAGGATCCATGCTTTTTCCGCTTTAAAAACCCCTATTAAATAAGAAACTGATAGCAAACAGCATGGACCCTCATAGCTGGCGGATGCGCGGGTGGCGGCCCATGCATGCTGGTCACAAAACACTATGTTGGTTTTTGCTGACGCGGCCAAAAGTTTTCCAATAAGAAAGTTTCCAAAAACTA